CCAAACGCAAGCTCCGAATCTTTTGCTCTATGCCCAGCTTATTTTTTCGTTCTTCGCTGATGAGCTCATCAAAGTTCATGTCGTCCATTTTCCTCTGCATTCTTTTAACTTCCGTATCCTGTTACCAACAGAGCTAGGCAGTTGATCATTTGTGCTTTAAGCCTCACCATTGATGCAGCTCTCTCTGCGCTTCTTCTTAACTCGCCCTCGAGAGTTGACGTGTCCCGGAAGTGTGGTTCTTAGCTCGTCAATACGCTTTTCTATAGACCTCTGCAAGTCCTTGTCAAACATCACAAAAGGCTAAAAAGGCATATGTATACCTTCTGACCAATTTTTCCATCCTTTCTTCCACTAGCATCGCTGTATTTCTGGTTGACGTCATCCAGTTTTTTTGAAAATGTAGCTAGTTCCTTCTCGTGAAATCTCTGCAAAATTGTGATATCAGACTTCCGCCATAAACAGCGTTAAGTGGCACCGTAAGTTTAGCATGATCCTGCTTCAAATCTTCCAGGCGATTTGTAATCCTAGCAATGGATCTTTCTGTCGCCTGTTCATCAAGTGGAAGCACCAGATTGCCAAGTTTGTAACGGTCAAAAAGCTGTTGTATAAGGGCATCGCACTGCTTTTTATCTTGAAGATGGGCCTGAATTTAACGATGTTAGTATGGCATGCAAAACTCATTAGGCATACATTTTCTTCTCCCTCGAACTTTCCAACTTGTGTAGACGCTTGAGCAATCAACTCAGACAAGGTGTCATATTGCGTGTTAGCAGCATCCAAGCTCCTTTGAAGATCGCAAATCTCTTTGTTGGACTGCGCAATCCTTTCATGAAACTTTTCTTGCCATTCAGCCAGATCTTCATCGCTGTCTGCAGAGTGAAGCGCGTTAGATTTGATTCGACCCGTTTAAAGCCATGGATGTATACCTTCGTTTTCCTCCTCCAGCGCATTGTACTGCTCGGTCTTGGCCTTTAGCACAGAAGTTCTGACGCCATCTTTGAAATTTATTTCTTTCTGCAGCTGCCTTATTTCCTCCAGAACACCCTCTAAAGAGTTTATCTTAGCCTGCGCAGCCTGGATCTTTGGAGTCAGAATGGCTATCAAGTCTTGCAGTTGCTTTGTCTTCTGCTGATCGCCGTCGATAGTTTCTTGCAGCTGTAACAAAGGCATTTAAGAAAAGGTAGTGCCAAATAAGCACGAAAGAACCTTGTACGCTGCATCCTTGAGCGTTTGCACGTTTTCAAGCTTCAGTTTCTGCATCTTGATTTCTTGTGTTTGGTCCTTGTGGAGCTTCTTGATGACATCCAGGGCCTTCGTGTATCTGCAAGTCAAAAGTAAGAAGATATATTCCCATGCATTGTCCTGCATTACCTGGTCGCCGAAAAAATGTCATCGAACTTTTTCTTCAGAACAGAAGCTTCCGACAATGGCCAGTTCGCCTCGTCCTGATGCACAAAAATTACGTTCTCCAAAATGGCCTTCGATACGCCCATGAGAGCTGGAACCTCTCTGTCCATGTCCGCACAGCGATAACTAAGGCACACTTTCTGCCAAAGAGCAAAGAGAACCAACATGAAAATACAATCACACAGTACTACCTCTCCGGTGTGAGTGTTGATAGTCTGAAGAACACTCTCGATGGCCTTGTATTCCATCTTTGACGCCTTTTGCGTGAGCTGAAAGGATCGAATGCACACAACGTCTTTCCCAGACGCTGTCCTGAATCGAAGCTTGATCTGCCCCTTTGTCTCGGTCTGGCCATCAACCTAGAGAAGAAAAATCGATATGAAAAAGAAGCGAGGACATGGAAACATACCTTGGGGTCATGGATGAAGCTCTGGCCGGACCTCGCATTTGGAGGCAGCTCTCCAGTGCACGCGTTCTTGAGGCACTCGATGATCGTCTGTCCCAAAGGAGACGAAGATCATCCCATCGAGAATAGAAATCACTTCGATCTGTCACTTACAGTCTTTCCAGCGCCATTGGCGCCGACGACGAGCGTGAGCGGCCGATAGAAGGTGATGACATGCGTATTATCCGGGCCGAAGCTCCGGATTCCCTTGATCAGCATCTTGTCGAGCGTGCTCATGGCGCTTCACCCTCTCTCGGAAGAACCCTAAATAAACCCCAAATGAGAGAGTGGCGCGAAAATAGATATCGCCAATGCCTAGATGCTAGTGACGCTCCTCGCGGCGAAGAATCGCTGGGGCAGGAGCTTCTCCACTTGCGGCAGCGATGATCGTCTCAAGGAGACATTCGCCAGGCTACTCCGGGAATGCGCGAGCTCTAGGGATCTCTGGGCGGGGAGGAGGATCCACGCCCAGATCGATTCCAGCGGGCTCAAGAGCGACATCTACCTCGCGAATTTGCTCGTCCAGATGTATGGCAAATGCGGGAGCCTCGGCGACGCGCGCAGGATCTTCGACGCCATCGCTCGCCCCAACGATTTTTCCTTCAACATCATCATCACTGCCTATGCCCAGAACGGGGCCATCGATCAGGCCGAGACGTTCTTCCACCGCTTTCCCAGATTGAACGCGGCATCCTGGAATGCCATGGTCACCGCGCATGCCCAGGCTGGGAATCTGGCGAAGGCAAAGGACTTCTTCGATCGAATGCCAGGGCGAGACATCATCTCCTGGAACGCATTGATGCAAGCTTCCGGAGAGGCAGCGACGATCTTTGATCGGATGCCCGGCCACAATCTTGTCTCCTGGAACACCATTCTCTCCGCAAATGCCCAAGACTGGCACTTGGAATCAGCCAAGGAGATCTTCGCGGCCATGCCGATGAAGAACGAAATCTCCTGGACGTCGATGATCCAGGCCTATGGCCAGCGCGGCCACTCCGAGGCGCAGAACCTCTTCATGATCATGCCCACCTGGAATATCGTCGCGTGTACCGCGATGATCACCGCGTTCTCCCAGCGGGGAAATCTCCAGGAATGCGAGCGAATCTACAAATCCATGCCGGAGCACGACGCGATCGCTAGCAACGCGATGATCGCCGCGTGCTCCACCAGCGGCGATCTCGATCAAGCAGAGAGAATCTTTCACAATATGGCGGAGAGGAACACAGCGTCGTGGAATGCCATGGTAGCAGCATATGCCCAAAACGGGCATTTGGAGTATACGAAGCGTGACTTTGATACCGCCCAGTGCCGGGACGTGATTACCTGGAACACTATGATCGCGTCGTACGCCATTTATGGCCACATGGCGATGGCCAAGGCTCTGTACAACACCTCGCCGGCGTGGAACATCGTCTCGTTGAATGCCATGCTCTCGGCATTTGCCTTAGAAGGGCTCTTGGATGAAGCGGGAGATCTCTTCGCCGCGATGCGCGAGCGCGACGTCGTGTCGTGGAACGCGCTGCTCTTCGGCTATGGCCAGAATGGCAATATGGAGGACGCGCGCAAGGTGTTCTTGCGATCGCCCAGGCACGATCTCGTGTCCTGGAATGGCTGGCTCGCGGCGGCGGCGATCAATGGCCATGTCGGCCAGGCGCTGGCGGCGTTCCACGCTATGCCCGAGAGGAACGCCGTGTCCTGGAACTCGATGATCGCGAGCTGCGCGAATCTCGGTCGCGGGGCCGAGGCGCTCGAGATCTTCTTTCAGCAGCTCCTCGATGGGATCTCCCCCGACGAGATCACCTTCACGAGCGTGCTCCACGCGTGTGGGCACCTCGGCCTGCTCGATCGCGCGCATGATTTCTTCTCCAGTATCGGACACGACCACTGCCTGGTGCCGATCCGCGAGCACTACTGCTGCCTGGTGGATTTACTGGGGCGATTGGGGCGGCTGCGCGACGCCGAGGATCTCGTCCAGGGCATGCCATTCCCGGCGAGTCACAACGATTGGACGAGCCTGCTCAACGCCTACATCGTTCACGATGAGATGGATCAGGGGCGCCAGGCATTGGGCAATGTGGTGCGCCATCGCCTCTCTCTTGACGAGCTCCTCGGATGATCCTAGCGCTTCATACAGTACGGGCCGTTGTTATTTGTGGACCATGTGGCCCAAGAGGCAGTGTACGGCGCCATTCCACGCGCTCATCTCTTTCAGTCACTTCTTGTGCGCCTGGCCGTGTAAAAAAGATGCGCAGCTAGGGTTATGGAGCAGCGATGGCGGCCAGCGGCTCTACAGTAATGGATTCTTCTCTCGCAGCGCGCGGAGGCGAGCTGGAGCTGCGGCGCGGCAGATCCTCCTCGTCCTGCCGCCGACAGCGCCGCGCCCGAAGAGGTACGTTCTCCTGGATTACAATGCAAGATCGTGAAAGGCGAGTCGAATTTCCCTGCGCTGCTTGGTGATCAGGATGACCGTTGCCGCAAGCATCATGGAGCCGCAGCCTCTAGACCCGCCGGACATCTCACTGGAGAATCTCTTGAGGCCCATGCTGCCGCCGGGAGCGCCTATTCCAGACTACGATCAGCTCGATTATTCATTCGCAATAGAGTACTCGGGACCTGTAGGTGATCATCCGGTTCCCAGGGCTGATCCACTGGTTGGATCTCGGGATAGTTCCAGCCAGGTGGATTCGTCGTCGGTTTCCAAGACGCCAAGGCCCAAGCCGTCTGCGCTACACATAGATACCAGGAAACGAGCTCATTTGGCAGCAGAGAAGCTGATAAGCGAGTCGGGGTCAGCAAGATCACCTATCACAGGACTGGTAGAGAAGGACAGCTCGTCTACCACAGGAAGAAGTCCTTTGTCCAACAGTGGGACAAGAGGAAAGGCTGCCTCTAAAGAGAAGGAGGCCGGCTCGAGTTCCCCGGATTCAAGGCTAGCGTACTCCGGATTGAACTCCCTGTCGCGGAAATCCTCCTCCTCGGAGATTGAAGAGCTGAACGTCCAGTTTTCCGCGGCAGTGTCAGCTGCGGCCTCTGCACTGCCTTCTCCGTCGGCTTTAAGATCCGTGTCGCTCAGTGAGAACCACAACTTGGAAAACTCGGACTTCCATTCCACTCCGCGGTCCATTTCGATGCCAGAGAGGGATAGAGCTGACGGATCTTCGAGGCCTGGCTCGCCATCTGGTGTTACTGCGGTGGAGCCAGTGGTGGTGGTGACGAAAAAGCGTGAATGCCATCGGTGTCTTAAAAAACACATGTTACAGGAGAAAGAGACGTGCCTCGTCTGCACTGCGAGGTACTGTCGGAACTGCGTCCTTATTGCAATGGGCTCCATGCCGGAGGGGCGGAAGTGCTTACGGTGCATTGGCCTGCCTATTCATGAATCACGACGACCGTATCTTGGGAAGCCGTCCAGGCTGCTCAAAAGCATTCTGAGTCCCTTGGAGATCCAGCAGATCATGCGCACAGAGAAGGATTGTTTGGCCAATCAACTACGTCCCGAGCAGCTTATTGTGAACGGCAGGGCCCTCGCTGCGCCGGAGATGTCCGAGCTATTGAGCTGCAGCAATCCTCCTCCAAAACTTAAGCCCGGCAAATACTGGTACGACAAAACCTCTGGACTGTGGGGAAAGGTAAGTTTGCTTTATTACGAACGAAGCTTTCAGAGTACTGAGAAGTTTTTATTCTATGCTGCAACAGGAAGGTGAAAAGCCAAGCAAGATCGTCACTGCAGAGTTGAAAGTTGGTGGCAACCTTAAGCCGGATGCAAGCCTTGGTACAACGGAGGTCTATATAAATTGTCGTCAGATCACCAAGTCTGAATTAAAAATGTTGAAGGTAGTTTCTTGTTCTTGCATAGCGCTACAGTAATTTCTACGTTGTTGTTATGATCAGTTGGCAGGAGTGCAGTGTCCTCCGAGTACTTACCTTTTTCTATCACCCGATGGATCGTATATGGAAGAAGGACAGAACAACTATAAAGGAAACATATGGGAGAAGGTAACTCTAAGCGTGCGTATCAATGTGCTCTGAGCGTTATGTTTGTACAGGCTTCCATAAGAGTGATGTATTCTCTGTTCTCATTGCCGACGCCTCGTGGAAGTGTACGTGCCAACAAACCAAGTGCTCGTGAGCTTTCGGCTAGGTACCCTCCTGCCATTTTGGAGCATAAGAATGTGAGCAAGCTGCTTTTACTGGGTCACGAGGGCTCTGGCAGGAGTACAATCTTCAAGCAGGTAAAGACCTTTCACGTGAATGAACTCAATACTAAAATTTGTGGTATTTCTCAGGCCAAGTTTCTCTACAGAGGTGGTTTCGAGCAGAAGGAACTTGAGAGATACAAGGAAATGATTCAAACGTACATCTACAAGTATCTTGTTATATTGTTAGAAGGTCGCGAGCGTTTTGAAGATGAAGAAGGTGATGCTTTGTTGAAGATCAAATGTGATCCTCCTGCGACAGGTATGGTGACACTGCAAGTAAGGCCTTATCAATGTATCTTTCTCAGGCGAAACCTCAAAGAATATGTATTCGATGGATACGCGGTTGAAGAATCTAGCGGACTGGTTCCTTGACATTACAGCTGATGGATCTTTGGAAAGGTACTTTCCTGCTGCTACACGAGAGTACGCAGCATCTGTGGAAGAGCTTTGGCGCGATCCTGCTATTCAAGCTACATTCAAGAGGAAGGAGGAACTTCATAAGCTACCTGATGTTGCCGGAGAATTCCTAGAAAGGGTGAGCATGTGCAGTTTAAATGGTGAAGGACTTAAATTCTTTGTTTTCAGGTCGTGGAGCTCTCAAGCAATGAGTACGAGCCTGTGGATCACGATATCTTATATGCAGAAGGCTTGACCCAAGGTTCCGGACTTGCAGAGATAGAATTTGGTTTACCCGATCGGGAGCAGACTTCAGGTGCAATGCATGACACAGTGGATTACTCTCCTACGGGAAGGTTAGCCAATTAACTTCTTTTGCTTTCTCGCGCGTCTTGACTTGAAACATCACGCAGGTACCAGCTTATACGAGTGGGTGGTATCGGTCTTAAAGAAGGAAAGAAATGGCTGGGAATGTTCGAGGACGTTCGAGCGGTTGTCTTTACTGTGGCACTCAGCGAATTCGATCAATTATGGATAGACAGCGATGGCGTTGCCCGAAACAAACTTCTTATAAGCAAGGAGCTTTTTCAGGACATTGTGGCACGCCCCTGCTTCAAGGGAACCCCCTTCATTCTCTTTCTCAACAAGTACGACAAGTTTGAAGAGAAGATCATGAAAGGCGTTCCACTCACGACGTGTGACTGGTTTTCCGACTTCAGCCCCGTTGGTGTTCCTCACTCTACCCAAGCTCAACAGGCCTACACATACGTTGTCCACAAGTTCAAGAAGCTCGTCGGTGACCGCAAGCTCTACACCTTCCAGCTGAACGCTCTCGAGCGGAACTTGGTGGCCTCGGCATTCCAGTACGTGAAACACATACTCAAGCACGAAGAGAGCAAGGCGGCCGGCTGGATGGCACTCCCAGAGGACTCTTCCTATTGCACAGACTTGAGCTCATACTCGCTGCATTCCGCGAGGCAAGAGAATGGCAACTCCTGGGACAGGTGAGCCTTTGGATGTTGCGGTTTGAGCTATCATTTTATTCTAATCCGGCTGCCACTACAGAAGTGCAAGATATGGTACATATGTTTCATAATTTGCAGAGTTTTAGAAACGCGCAGTGACAAGTACGCGAATTTTTGCTGTGCTCTTCCCCTCTTTTTTTCTTCTGGCTCATTAGTTCCCGATCCATCTCGGCTGCTAAAGTCAGACATTTTGGATATGAATTCATTTGTTTCTTGAGGCCATAATGGAAACTTGTGAGGCGGACAGACTTCGACACCAAAGGATAGCATGTGGTGGGTCGCGAAATGGTACGGTGTTTCTTTTGTTGGAATTGATTCATTCAAGTCTCATTGTTCTTTCTTCCTTTTGTGTTTCTTTTTTCTCAGAGAGCGACCAGAAAGTCTGGCAGTGGTGCTGTGTGGTGTGTGGTGCTTTTGCTTTGCACAAACAACACCCAAAGTGCCAAAGTGGAGATTTAGACATGTCTAAGCGCGAGAAAAAAATGATGAACAGTGGTGCGTGCGTGCAAGCAGACTCATTCTACTGGCCAGAAGAACTCATCACATTCCATTAGCTGTGATCACGAAAGGTGAGGCCCGACTTTTCAAACGATTCCAAAGCTTTTTCATCAATCTTATTCAATCCTTTGATGGTCCAGGTGATATTAAACACTTTGCTCGGTCGGGCCTGACTGGATATTCTCTTCTCCAGATCCGAATGTTAAAAGTACTGGCCAGTCACGGGAGGCTTGTGAGCGGCACAACACACTCGTTGCAGGCTGGAGACTACTGTACCGCGAGAAGATAAAAGGTAAGAGGAGCTTTAGGCTTTGTTAGGTAGACCACTGATCCAGCACGCCATTACAGGGAGAGGCTATAGGCATCGCAGAGTGACAAGAGGATCTTTGTAGCCGAGCTCTTGTCACGACGCTTCTTTTGGATCTCCAGTGCAGGAACAAAGCTATAGAAAAATCAAATCGCGAGGTTAGAGCTTCCTGTATCTTAAAATCCTACATTGCTAACAGTTCTATTCTCACTGTGACATAGGCAGGCCTGCCATCACGCGAAAAGGGAGCCGTGCTTAACAGAAACTCCGTAAGAAAGCCCATCGCTTTCACTGCAACAGAACCAAGCAAGGAACGCTCCTTTTCTCGTTTCCTCGGACGGTAAGCCTTTGCAAAATCGATTTTTACGTGATCACGTACTACAATGTTTGGTGTTGCAGAGGTTCTCCCAGAGTTCTCAGTGGGGACCAAGTGTAAGTTAAGTTACGGCCGCTTTATAGTTATGAGCGATACAAGGAGACAAGCTCTTGCCACCCGGGACACACAGTGCCAAGGGAATTGTTTGCTTGCGACGAAGTACTCGACTTTATAAAAACTCGGCAGAGCGGCTCTCTGGATCGCGGCGAGTGACGAGTGATGGATCAACCGCCCAGCCATTCTCTTGTATCCATCCATACAGCTTGGATCTTAGCTTGTCCGAGAGCCAAGAACACGTAAGGACTATACGCTTCCAAGATATGGAGGAGATAAAAAAACGATAACGCGGCGTGGAGGTTTTTAAAACCATGTAACTAGAATCGTGGGATTCGATCACACAATATAATCGGTCGTGGTTGGACGAAATTCCGCCAAGTTTGGCGTAGCGCCGCCAAAGTGGGGTCCTGCTGAAATAGTTAGCAGTAGTAGTAGCATGACGCCGCGCCTCCCCATTCACATGCTCGTACTGGAATGGCTCTTTCCTAGGGTTCTAATCCACGCATCTATGACAAAGATATGGCGCCCAGACGCGACGGCGATGGCGGCCTCGATCGCTCTCGTGGTTAGGCTGCCTACCATGCACTGCCCGTAACGGAGCGCGCGGTCGGAATCGCATTGTCCCCAGGTATCAGCTCGAAATTTCGTCACAGGGGACGGAAATGCGAGCGATTTCTGGGAGATTTCAATGGATCATCGTCTCCCTCTCGCGGTCGATCGGATTCTTGGAGCTCCTAGGCTAGGTTTCTAGAGGCGCTGACCGCTCGGGTACTTTTCCAAGATACAGGTCCAAAGTGGAAGAAGTATGTTGGGCCTACAAGGGGATTGCGCTTGCGTTTCCGTCCGAGCACGGGGATCCGAGCAGATAGATAGTGGATTTTGGTGAGGGAAGCAGCGGGCAGGGGCATCAGGAAAAAGTCTTCCTTGGAGAGAAATCTCTCCTCCCTTTCTCTCTCTCTCTCCTTCTCCCCTTCTTCTTCTCCTCCCCCTTCTTCGTCTCTCTCGGGGGACGTTGCATCGGAGGAGATGCTGAGGAAGGCCTCCTCCAAATTAGATCTGGCTCGTCCTCCTGGAGGAGGAGCTGCCAGGCACCGGCTCGACTTCGACAGGCCCAAGCCTTTCCCGATGAGCTTTGGGCTCATGGGCGCTGCTGTCGGGGACAAGGCCAAGACGAAGAAGATCGCCCCCTCCTCGAGGAGCAATTTGATCGCGAGGCCCGAGAGCTTCCGGCAACTTGCTGCCGAGGTGATTGTGGTGGCAATTGACGGGAGCAAGAGCATCACGAGGCATGCTCTTGAGTGGGCTCTATCGAATGTGGTCCAGCCCGGGGATAGGATCATCCTGCTAGCGCTGCTTCCTTCCAGCTCCGGTAAGCGTTTCAAGCGTTTTTTTCTTTCTTCTTCTTCTTTTTTCTCGTATTCTGGCCGGTGATTGCTTAACTGGTTTGGGTTGTTTCTAGGATGGAAGTTTTGGAAATTTGCGAAATTCGCCCGCGATTCTTCGACGAAGGACAAGATCCGGCAGGAGGAAACGCGGAAGTCTTGCCAGTGTATGATGGAGCAGCTTCAAAGCCTTTTTGATGCGAAGAAGGTGAGTACTTCACGATTCCGTTATAAGCTTTTCTATACCGACGGGATCGATTGCGACAGGTACAAACGACCGTGAAGATTTATCCTTCGGCAGAGAAAGGAGCAACGACGATCGAAGCGAAGAAACTTCAGGCTACATGGGTTGTACTTGACAGGTACGTTACTCGAAAGTTTTTCCGTTTTTCTACGTAGATTTACGGTGGAAATTTTCTTTTTCAGGCACTTGAAGAAGGAAGAAAAGAGGTGCTCAGACAACTTACAGTGCAATTTGGTCATTGTGGATCGCTACAATCCCAAGATACTCCGGCTCAATCTCAAGCAATCTCCAGAAGCGACGCCATTAGAAAAGGCCGCAGTTCCACCACCGTTGGCAAAGCAGGCTGAAACTCCCGCAAGCAGTCCCGATGTAGGAACGCCTTTCACATCTACCAGCAGAGGAAATTCATCATGCTCCGAGTCCAGCACCTCCCCATTCTCAGGCACAGAACCTGGCAGCTATCAAACGACTACTCCTGAAAGCTTTGGTGTGACCATCGAGGACGTACGTCGTCCGGAATATGGTGCGTCAGAATCCGATAGCGACGACCCGACGGTTGTCCCAAGACGGTGGAGAAACTCATCCAGGAATCTCTCGACTAAGGACCACTCCAAGAACAAAGAATACAAGGAGGCACGACAAGCTGAAGGTACTTCCACTTGTGTTTGTGTGAATCATGCTAATTAGGACTCCTTCAGGTAAGAGAAGCAGCACACCAGTTCAAAGAGCAAGAATCAGTCCAATCAAGCAACGGATTTCTTCAGATTCCCGGTTGTCTACAAGTATGAGAGAGGGCGGCTCCAGGCAAAGCTTGAAAACTATTCTGAACCCTGCCGCTCCGCGATTAAGCAGCAGTGGTACTGCTCCGAAGCTAGCGCTGTCTGATTTGCTCACATCCTGCAAGCTCAGCTCAGAACTGGACGAGAGAAACAACCGGCCAAATTGCGAAGAAGCCACAAGCATAAGAAGAGCTGTGTCTTTGACGACACACTCTCCGTTGGAGCCACCACCTCTGTGCTCGATCTGCCAGCACAAAGCACCTGTCTTCGGCCGACCTCCCAGAGAGTTCACGTTCGAAGAGCTCGAGCTCGCCACAGGTGGTTTCTCCCAGGCAAACTTTCTGGCGGAAGGTGGCTTTGGCTCGGTGCACAGAGGCGTTCTTCCTGAAGGCCAAGTCGTTGCGGTTAAGCAGCACAAGCTCGCGAGCTCGCAAGGCGACGTCGAATTCTGTTCAGAGGTTGAGGTTTTGAGCTGTGCTCAACACCGAAACGTTGTCATGCTTATCGGCTACTGCATGGAGGACAGCAGGCGTCTTTTGGTCTACGAGTTTATATGCAATAATTCTTTGGATGCTCATCTTTACGGTAAGTTCTTCTGTTTTGTTTTTTTCCTTTTGCTAACGATGCCAAGTTCCTGCAGGTAAAACCATGGATCCACTGGAGTGGAAATACAGACAAAGGGTTGCTATCGGTGCTGCTCGAGGATTACGGTATCTGCACGAGGAATGCCGGGTCGGCTGCATAGTTCACAGAGACATGCGTCCTAACAACATTCTTCTAACACATGACTACGAACCTATGGTAAGTTACATTGTTATGAAAGAGCACGCGTGATGTTCCGGTTTTGTTCCAGGTTGGTGATTTTGGTCTAGCTAGATGGCAACCAGATGGAGAACTTGGAGTTGAAACCCGCGTTATTGGCACCTTCGGGTAAGGTTTTAAAATCGTTACGTGAAACAAAACTTAGCTATGGTATGGACTCTGCTCTGTCAGGTATTTAGCACCTGAATATACTCAAAGTGGTCAGATCACAGAAAAGGCAGACGTTTACTCGTTTGGAATAGTGCTCTTGGAGCTTGTAACTGGCCGCAAGGCCATCGACATTTCGCGTCCAAAGGGTCAGCAATGCCTCACGGAATGGGTAAGTTCTTGAGCTGGTCTCTCACAGCCTTTCTCTAATATGTTCGTGTGATTTGTTCTAGGCTCGTCCATTGTTGAGAAAACGAGTCTACCGGGAGCTAGTCGACCCCAAACTTTGCGGCGAGTTTGAGAAGGACGAGGTGACCTGTATGCTCCATGCTGCTTTCCTGTGCATATCACGGGATCCAAACACACGGCCACGGATGTCCCAGGTATGGTTTGTTTTCCATTCGCATCTAGCATCAACTTCGAGCGAGTTCTCACGACACAAACGAAAACGAAACAGGTTCTTCGGATTCTCGAGGGCGAGATGATAATCGACCCGGCTCCAGCCTCATCTCTCAGCGACGAAGATATCCCTTCCAGGCCAGTGAGCGAGCCGACGCGGCGGTCGACGAGCGCCATCTCCAGCCGGAAGAACAGGTACATTCCCAGCAGCGTCGGCCACTACAGCTCGGGAGCTGCCAAGGAAGATGGAGCTCTCGCAAGGCCAAACTCTGGCAACTTGACACTAGAAGAGCTCAAGGCTGCGTATCGACACAAGCTCGGTCATCGCAGGCTCTCCCTGGGCGATGCTTTGTAACATAGCATTGTGATTTTGCGCTTATATTCTATGTAAATTGCGAAGAGATGATTTTGTTAGTATTCTTTTTCGGCGGTCCAGATTATGTTCTTTCTTGTTTTTGACGGTTGGGATCTGCTGACGATGCTGCCACGTTGGCACAAAAGAATTTTCTGACACGTGGCAGGATTCTCTAGGGTTTATCGGCAATGGGGACAGTGGTGGAGAGCGCCACTGAGCAAGCGAAGACGCTCGTGGCGGCGCTGTGCAGGCAGTTCTATGGCCTCGGCTGGGTGTCTGGAACTGGCGGAGGTGTTACTCTCAAGGTGGAGGATCCGCAGCTCCCCATGGCCGATCGCTTGATCGTCATGGCTCCCTCAGGTAAAATTTCTGCGATGCGATGCGAGCATTGTGATCTTGGGATTCGTTTCGATCTCCCAGGAGTCCAGAAGGAAAAGATGAATGCGGAGGATATGTATGTGCTGGATAAGAATGGGGCCGTCCTCTCCACACCACTGCCATTGCCTCCTCCTCACAAGCCGCCCAAATGCACGGACTGTGCTCCTCTTTTCATGAAGGTTCTAAAGCTTCTTCTTTTACTTTTTTTTTTATTCTTTCTTCTCATGAGACTTGGATTCGTGACTTAGGCGTACACGATGAGGAATGCTGGAGCTGTGATTCACAGCCATGGAATGGAGAGCTGTCTCGTGACCATGATCGATCCCGGTGCCAAAGAGTTTCGGGTAATACTTTTCTTTTTCTCTTTTTATTCATTTGAGCTCCATCTCGTGTGGCTGCTGTAGATCACTCACATGGAGATGATCAAAGGAATCAAAGGGCATGGTTACTACGACGAGCTTGTAGTCCCGATCATTGAAAACTCTGCGTATGAATACGAGCTCACGGACTCCTTAGCAGCAGCCGTGAGTAAAAGCTCGTTCGTTTCTCACTGTTGTCTTTCTGATTCGTGTTTTGCTGGAAGATTGCCGCTTATCCACGAACGACGGCGGTGTTAGTGAGAAACCATGGGATTTACGTCTGGGGTGACTCGTGGATCAGTGCTAAAACTCAGGTGATAGTATTTTTGCCAGCTTGACTCTTAATCTTTTGCGAAACAGGCAGAATGCTACCATTATCTTTTTGACGCCGCACTTAAGCTTCGCCAGTTTGGCCTCGACCATACAAACCCCTTGCATGGACCAGTGAAGAAACTCAGCCTTGCAGCTCCAAAGAAAAACTATCCCGTAAGAAATACTGTCCATTTATGCGGCTTTTATCAAATGTTTTTCTTCTGCTTTGCAGCGTGTGATTTTACTTGATATTGAAGGCACCACCACTCCCATATCGTTCGTGACGGACGTTTTGTTTCCCTATGCGCGTGACAATGTGGGAAAACACCTCTCAGCCACTTACGATTCGAAGGAGACTCAAGATGATCTAGAACTTCTCAGGCAACAGGCAAGATTTCAATGGTTTTGGTGGCAGCAGAAATCAAGCTCTCGTGTTATGACAAGCAGGCTTCTAAAGACACGAAGGAGGGAAACGTGCAAGCGCAGCTCATTCCTCCAAGTGATGCTCCTAAGGACGAAGTCATTGCGGCAGCGGAGCGTAACGTTCTCGCCATGATTGCTGCCGATCGCAAAGTTACAGCCCTCAAACAATTGCAGGTCTGGTCTTGTTTTTAATCAACGTTTCTTGATCCTTTGCATCACAGGGACATATTTGGAGAACAGGATACAAAAACGGTGAACTCAAAGGCCAAGTCTTTCAGGACGTTCCTGAAGCACTCTCCTTGTGGCATTCTGCCGAGTCGAAGGTCTGATAGAAGTTGCCAAAGCACGATGTTGATGTTGTCGCCTTCTTCCTTTCAGGCCTATATTTACTCGAGTGGGAGCCGAGAAGCGCAGCGGCTGATCTTTGGGAACACAAACTTTGGTGATTTGAGGAGATACATTTCGGGCTACTTCGATACCGTGACAGGGTGAGATTTTCTGCACTTGGTTCATTACATTTGCTCCTCGCATCTCATTCCTTTTCAGAAACAAACGAGAGGCACGGAGTTACACTGAAATCTTCCTTTCGGTGGGTGCCGACGAGCCCTCTCAGATTACTTTCGCCACGGACGTGCTGGCTGAAGCTGTTGCGGCTAAAGAAGCTGGTAATGTCTGGGAAAAAAAAGCGAGGGATGTGTTGCTAATGTATCATTGCTTTTGTTGCCAGGCCTGGACACTGTGATACTTGAGAGACCAGGGAATGCACCGCTGCCTAGCGGTCATGGTTTCAGGACGGCAAGCACCCTTCTCGAGATATAAGATTGGGACTCAAAGTTTGCAAGCTCTTACTCAAACAAAGAATAGCGTCTTGGCATATTCGAGAAGCTAAGTTATCGGGTCACGTGGCTTTGGGCTTGTGAGAAGTCTAGAGGATAGCATCAGGGCCTTAACACCAAGAAGCAAAGTTTTTTAACCTTGTATTCTCAAACCAGGAGTCTCCAGTTCGTCCTTCTTGGCTCTTGGGATACCAGCCGGTTTGTGAGCTTTATTCACGAAGTTCACGGGTGAATCATCTAATAGCGCCTCGTCAAAGTCCTTACTCCCGAGATGCAAGACTGCTAAATAAATGGAATTGTTCCCACGGAAACAACAGCTAGCGACAAATGTTTGCAACTTTGTAAATGTATTCCTTTCTTTTCAAGGAAACCACCTCTGCCAGAGCGTAAACTCCCTGCAACGTTGTTCTATGGCACCGTTGCAGTCTCATGGTGCAAAAACAAAAGGAAGTTAGAGAAACCATAAAGAAAACTAAAGAGAACATAGACCTGGAAGGTTGAAGCCTCTCCTAGCTCTTTGAACAAACATTTTGGTTAGAGCAAACAGCTCACGAACCTTTGACTTCCATTTCGTTGAACAGCAAACATGCTAGTTAGACAAACCAATATATGAGTTGATTCAGGCGTCTTTTCTTGTAAATTCACACTGTGCACATTCTTTTGCCTTTGGAGTTTTCATGATCGTTGTTTTCATTGAGGTTGGACCATTGTCAAGTACGTCTTCAGCTGGATTGAAGTTCTGAAGATCACGTTGTTTCTCAGCCGGCAGGTCTTGCGTTGAGCACAGCAACAACATAATTCAAAGCCTCTCCAAAACGTTGACACAAAATCTCTCCAATCTCGTAGCATTTTTCTTTTTGAACACGGCGTTTTTTAGTTCTTATCGTGGTTGAGCAGTACCAACACGTCAATTGTCCTTTTCATGACAAGAAATTAGAACAAATTGAAACACATGCAAACCTGAAGCTAAGTATTCTCAACTTTCAATAATGTTCCTTGGACCCTTGTTTTGCACTTAGCTTGTTTGAGCTGTTTTATGAGCATATCATCTTAGCTTGACTGTGTCCCTAGTTCCCTTTTGCGTTGAGCATAGCATCTTCTTGACCCGTCGAAAATAAAGAGCGAACCTGATGTCTTCAAACGTTGAGAGTTCAACACGAATTCAAGCCTTTCATTTATCGTTGATCATTCGATCCTAGCTCGTTGCGAGCAGCTTCGCTTTCTTGTCTCCAGCAAATCTCTCTTGTTTCGTTGTCTTACTCGCTTATTCCTAACACAAAGAAAAGCCCTTACCTTGAGAGGTGGAGAGGTGCGAGAGTTACGGATCATGATCGCTGTTGTCATTGTCATTTACGTCTTCAGCTGGATTGAAGTTCTGAAGATCGCAGGTGCCCAAAAGTTGTTTCTCAGCTCACAGGTCTTGCCTTGAGCGCAGTAACAACATAACTCAAAGCACTGACAATCTCTCCAAAACGTTGACACAAAATCTCTCCAATCTAGTAGCATTTTTCTTCTTGGCACACGCTGTGACATGGCGTTTTCCAGTTCTTATCGTTGTTGGCAACACCAACATGTCACTTGGCTTCTTCATGACAAGAAATTAGAACAAATCGAAACACACGCGAACCTGGCAACATGAAACTAAGTGTCGTTGATCTAGTTTTGTTTGTATTCACAGAGCGTTGTCCATCCGTTGTTTCACTTGTTTGAGTTGTTTGTTGTGTCACTGGCTCCCTTTTGCGTTGCAATCGCGAACCTGGTGTCCTCGAACGTTGAGAGTTTCAACACGATTTTTTGATCGCCTCTAACAGACCTCTTAGCTCGTTGCAAGCAGCTTTAACGCAAAGAAAAGCCCTATCTAAAAAAACTTACCTTGCGGGAAGGGAGAGAGAAGCACCTGGAGCTCCGATCAATGGGCAGAGTGGAAGGGTCGCGACCCCAACCCCAAGACATCCCGTCGGCTGCATCCACCATCACTGCCCTAGCCCTTCATCAACGATGTACCCTAAGTTTGAGTTATTTTATATAGGCAGGGCAAAAAGGGAAAACGAGAGCTGCTAAATTACTCGTCGAGGGGACGAGGAATCCTGCTGATCGGACAGCCTGCTGGATGGCTCTTCCGTGCTGCTGTTGCGTGCCTGCACGGTAAGCTTCTGGATCTCAGCCGCCGAATGCATCGCACCGTCGTGCAAAACTCCCTGAAATGTAAAAACTCTTTAAGCAAATGAAATGCACAGACGAGATCTTACCCCCAGGGGTCGTCTCCGACGAGCAGCATGTCGCCTTCGTTATCTACGTACACGGCTTGCCACTCGGACCCGTTCAGGTTCTTGTCGATGCCGAACAGATGCTGCAGCTCCTCCAGGAGTTCCCTGTATCCCCGAAACTTGCGCAAGTCCAAAGCTCGTCCCACTGCACCGTGTTTGTGAAGCTTTGAAAAGTAGAAGAGATTCAGAGTCTGGCGCTTCAAATAAAGAATGAGATCTTACTTTGGTGCACGTCCTGCTTGCTGCTGCTGGTTCCAGTTCTGGCCAGTGACTCGAGATCCTTGTGGACGTCGTCTTTGGCGGTGCTGGCCAAAGCTGTCTTTGCTTTCAACCAGAAACCAAATAGTGTGCACTCGCGGTCAGAATCGTTTGCATTACCTGGGGCTCCCCAACTCCTGAAAGAACAAAAAAGAGTAGACAAAAAAGCATTACATAAGAAGTTACTGGGAGCCTGTTGCTGCGAGGACACATGTGAAGCTTAAGAAAAGAGTGTCTGTTGTATGTAAGTAGACTGGGCAACTTAATGCTGCTTGCCAATAAGCGAAGCTGCTGGGTGGAGAAGGCTGCTGCGGTTCTCGAATTGTGGAGGAATCTTCTGCTCTCGAAACTGCTGAATGCAAAGCCTAAGCTGCTGCTGGTGCATATCGACTTTACGATGAGATGGTAGCCCCTCGTTTCTGGGGCTTGGCAATCCAGAAGGAAAACCAGGAACACTACGACCACTCAGGTGTCAGTCGAAAGTCATACGACAATCATCTTTGTCAGATCCTACAGGACACCCGTAATTTGCAGGCATCTCACAAATACAAGGCTGACGAGAGGGAAAATTTTCTCAGACCAACCGTGAATTAAAAGTGCATGTAGAGAGTACTTATGTCTGTGAGCATTGTTGGCCTGCCTGAATCTCTTCGTCGAAACCGGGGGAGTCACATTGAGCAATAAATGGATCTATCTCTCATGCCTGTCTTTCACTAGCCGCGTGCTCAGCTAAAAAATGCGTCACTTGAAGACAGGACTCTTTACCTTTGGGAAGCGCCATTTAGAGCCAGGCCATCGAGCCGGATCGATATCGCCAATTCCAGTAATAGTTCCCATATATCTGACACTACCGGTGGAAACCAGCAAGTCGGACGAGAAGAGGTCCGCGTGGATTCTTCTGCCGGCCTGGAGCTGGCGCAAAACCTGAGGGAGGAGATGGTGATGGAGAGGTTGGGTCTCTCACCTTTGCTGCGCGTCCCATCGCAGAGTTTGCGAGCCTGTTTGATATCGTAGAGCTATCAAACTCGAAACTCGATCGATAAAACTTACTTGCGGGAATGGACTTGTTTGATGCTCCCTTGAGGCGAGTTCTCACTCGAGTCGGTCCGACGTTGAAAGTGTGGACGAAGTCGGGAAAGGTTGGATTTTCAAGAAATTTAGAAACGAAAAAAATGCTGTCAAAAGTTGTGCTACCTACTCCTGCTCAAAAACTCTAATCCTCGGAATGAGGCTCTCACCATCACTCGTTGAAAACATACAAAAAAAAAAGAGCGCGTGATCCCTTCACTGGCGAGAGCTAGAGCTGTAGCGATGCTCGGTTACCCGCCTGACGCGATGTGCCCCGCATTATCAGCCACGTCATCATCCCCCTCCGAGGAGGACACCGTGCTGACTCCCACCTTGAAGCGGGCGCGCTCATACCATTGGTGTCTTCGCGAGCTCTTATATATCAAATCAAAGCCCTTGAGCTTGGGCATATGGGATAGGGCACTCTAGTTAGGGCTGCTCAGCATATTCTTTGATCCCTAGGGCAGGGACCTTTTTAGGTTTGTTTGGTTTTAAAGATCAAGGAATCCCCTGTGAATGGATGGACTCGATCGATCAGAGCGCTCGGGGCGTCTCGTCCTTCGCTGCCGGTGACGAACATTGGTTCTCCTGTAAACAACGAGATATCTGGTAGATCAAATTCAAGATACTCGGCTTCTTGAGCAGCAGGAAGAAAATGCGGATGTGCTTCGGTACGCCACGGCTTCATTGCTCGTACCAGAGATGAGTTCCATAACAGGTGATCCCTACATGGCGCAGCAAGCACAGCCACCACGATTTAGAAGATGCAGAAGGATGAAGATGGGAAAGAGGAATGGCTATAAAAAATGATATGTCAACCCCAAAGCAGAGAAGCTTGTAGAATGGTGGACAAAAACATCAAAGATGACAACCTTCTTGCTTCTTTTCCTTTTTTCTTTTTTTCCCTTCAGAAGCTTGGACAAACAATTGGTGGAAGGTCCATGATGGAGCGGATATCCTAATAAGAGCCGGCTAGAAGTGGGCCAAATATGGAGTTGGAGCTGGTAATCTTTTAAGTCTTCATATAGTTTTAAACTAGTGTGAGATGAGTCATGCTTCATGGTAGATGCTGCAAAACCATGTAAACAGCATATGGATGAATGAATGGATCAGACATTCAGCCTTCTTGCTTGCATCCTCTAATCACAATGCTCAAAACCTGTCTTTTCCACCAACAAAGTCTTTCTTCATCCTTTCATGAATAGATATGTAGGGAAATTAAAGTCAAACTAAAAAATCAACAAGCTTACCAAAAAGAATGCAAGCCTCAGAAATTTTTCTCCGCTGAATCGACTTTCTTATACACTGCCCTACGGCACGTAGGATAGCTTCTCGTCACGTGTCGCACAACCACGTAACACATTTTGGACCGCCAAAAGATCAAAAGATCGTATATGGTCCCAAGTTTTAATTGACAATACAGCAAGGATGAGAATACGGCACCACCTTTGCTGAAATGATTCCTATCATTTTTATCGGTGAATTTTTCTAGAGAACTGGCACCTCTCGACGCCATTGGTGTTGTTTCTTTTGCTGTTGTTTGATAGCCCGTCTCCACGGAGTGCTCTGCTGCTGCTCGCTGCTCCTAATCTTTGCCTGGCCTTTCCCGTTCTGTGAGCCTTCGAAAAAGAGATCAAGTCGATGGAATTCGCCTTAGAGCTTTTAGTCCTTAAGAGGGAAAGAGCTTACCCGTAGATATCTGGTTCGCGGCTTTCAAAGCCTCATCGGCAAGCTTTTTCCACTCGTCCGCCACGGAGTAACTTATTCCCATGCCCATGCTAATGCCTCTAAGTATGTGAATCGTTCTAAGGAGGAAAAACAAATCCCTGGGAAACTTCTGCAAAACAAATGGTACACAGCTATCAGCAAAAGTGAGACCAAGAATGTAAGAGATACACTCACGGGAACTGATATCTGCTTGAGAAGCGAGTCGTCTGCAAACGGATTCACCACTGTTAACCCACCGGGAAGTTTCGTGTCAAACATGATTGTGGCCAGATCTTTGATCGAGCCCTCACCAATCATGGACAGTTTCGAGATTTCAATCCCCAAGTCCCTGACGAGAGACATTTTTCATCTTTACCGTCGAAAGAAGGCAACAGCTTACCCGAAAGCTAGCTCAATCCGCTTTGGATCATGAGAAGACATTCCAAGTATCAGCCTCGCAAAAGCGAGCCGCAACTCATTAGGGAGTTCCTTCACTTGTCCGTAGTCCAGTAATGCCACCTGCGGCAATCATCTCATCCACAAAACTATTCTAACATGACAAGAAACTTTACCTTGCCATTGCTTTTCACAAGTATGTTTCCTGGGTGTGGGTCAGCTTGGAAAAACCCGTCTCTCAATATCATTTGGCCGTAAGCTGCAGTGATATCCTTCAATATCGATCTGCACAGTTGAATCAGTAGAGAAAAGCTCGCAAAATGCTCACCTCTTTGCATGGTTCGCAACACTTCCGTGGGGATTAATGCCTCGTTTAATCATCTCATCCGCTATACGTAGAATCGGAATGCCCTCAACAAAATCCATTACCAGAACTTTTCTATAGGAAAACAGAAGATTAGAAAGTGAATATACAGACTTTAATCTAATGTACCTTGTTACGAATCCTGGAACAGGACGAGGAACCTGAATGGGAGGGCTCCCACGATTCTCTTTGCTTAAAGTAACCGCAATCCGATCCATTGACTTCGCTTCCCTCAGGAAATCGAATTCATGGTGAACCTGCCTAACAAAGAGCTTAGAAACATACATACGAAAGCTTCGTTTACCTGCTGCTCGAGTTCGTCGACAGCCGAAACAAGATCAAACTTTACATCGAAACGCTGCAAGAATGCTCCAAATGTTTTCTGATTGGATATATCAGTCATCATCAGCTCTTCAGCACCAGGATGTTGCACCTAGAAAATGGAACGATAAAACAGTCAGGATAGATCCGTAACAGAAGCAGGTCTTACTTTGACAGCAACGTCAGTCGATCGACCCTTTAACCGCGCTCTGTGAACCTGGCAACAAGAGTTAGTAGAGAATTCCCGCAGGTTGAATGACAGTACCTGAGCGATCGAAGCACAGCCAAGGGGCTTCTGATCGAAACGTTCGAAGAGTGCATTGATTGGGTTTCCAAGCTCAGCTTCCACAATACCCTGGACAGTCTCGAAAGGTGTAGGAGGAGCATCGTCGCACAGCACAACAAGCTTCTTCACCCAAGCTGCAGGAACCAAATCCGGTTTTGCCAGAACTTGAGCAGACTAGAATCAAAGCCAAAGTGTCCATTTCACGAAGAAACAATTTTCGCATCAAAAAACTTACTTTTAGGAAGAATCCACCGAGGTCAGTACAAAGAGCGTAAACCTTTTCGGCCGCACTCTCATGCTGTTCCTCCCAAATCCTGTCTTGCTCCTGCTTGTCACTGACGAACTGGACCCGGATTTGGCACACCTGCACATCAATTGCCAGTGTCACGAAATTCTTCCCTCCTCAAAAACCCCACCTTGTAGCTGGCATAGATCGACATGCAGCGCATCCAGAACTGCATAGTCCGATCGATGGTGCGCTTCTTGCTCTCAATGTGCACATCTCGCTGCTGCTTGTCCAGCATAATATGAGCCCACTGCCTGGTCCTGTTCTCCATGGCCCTGTAAAGCTCTACAGCTACTACCCCAATCCTTCCAAGCCCGCTGCCGCCACCACCGCTAACGTCGCAGCCATCCCATTTCTTCTTTTTCACTCTGCCCTGGAAACAAATTGGTTTCTCACCACGTCCTCTGCCACGTCCTCTACCACATCATCGGCCATTCTGGTCCACGTCGTCCTTCACACGTCTCCCATGCACTTTTTTTTTGACAGATTTGCTTTGGATTTTCGGTCTCTCCTTTTTTTCCAGCCGTCACGGGCTTGTTGCTTCCGAACATAAAGATCGATTTTCCTGTTGCAACAAACCAAGTATTAAATCAAATATTTGAAAATAAAGGACTACACCATTACTTGCCGTATAAGATCAAAAATATTGTTGTGTCAAATTGTCGTCTTACTCATGGGCATCATGGCTTGCTCAAAAGCGTGCCGGTTCATGTTGCGGACTTCGAGTGGGCTTGATCGTCGCTTGTCAAGAACTGCATATTGCTCCACAAGCTGCAAAAACTCGGGCCGCCAGATGCTTCCTTTTTCTAAAAGCCGGTCCACCAAAACGTTGACAAAACTGCGATTGCGCTCAAGATACTGCAGTAAAAACTCCTTTGGTTCCTAGAGAAAAACTTGTAGGAATGTTTTACCTCAAGCGCCCTCGCATAGCAACTCTCAAGTATCTTCTGCGCTTCTACATCTACATCCTGCAAAAAAGCACCCAAAAGATTTAGAACCATCACGTAGAATTTGAGGCATCGTTACCCATATACTTCGCTGTCTATACCAACAGCCACTGTTAAGCCCATATAACTCCTTCCTGTCGGAATGTCCGGCACGAACAAAACTTCGTGCAGCTTTTCTTGCAATATCAACGTTGTCAGACGCAACCGTGCTAATCTGCAGAAACGTCGCATGAGATGAAGACAATATATGCGTCAGCTGACGAAGAACCTGATCAGCACCGTTCCACAACTCGTCTGCTGCACGGGGAGCAAGTTGGACGGTTATGTGGTCAAGGAATCCCTGGCGACTGTAAACGACACGGAACATCAAGCAGGTATTATAGAAATTCTATAAAAACAAAACCTGATCGATTCCAAGTATCCAAACTTCAACGGATCCGCTTTAAAACGTACAAAGCCCTTCTCTTCACCCATTCTCGGTACGATGGACATCTGAAAGAAAACTTTCAATAAAAACTTGCAAGAAAGTAGTCAATACCAGTTGTATGTCTTCCATATCGGGACAATTCGCAGCCATAGCAGCCATTGATGCTTCCTGTAGTGCAAGGATACGCCTCACTCTGTCGCTGCGTATGTGTAGATCAGGTTGTCCTCCCTCTTCATTTTGTGCAGCCTCCAGCAAGTCATCCGTTGTGACCTGCATACATTTCTCATATATGCTTTGTGATAAAACATCTCAACTCATATCACCTCTGTGCGACCATCTCGAAGAGCTGCCAATGCAGCAACATCAACGATATGCGCAAGTTGAGCACCAGCCATGCCAGCAGTGATTTGACCGACCGCGCGATAATCAATGCCTTCACCCATTGGTTTTGATTTTGCATGAACCTAGCGAGAAATACTGTTAGACGCTTGAAGCGTAATTGCAAAAACATACCTGTAGTATTTCAATGCGCCCTTGCAAGCTTGGCTTAGGAATGTATATTTTGCGATCAAAACGACCAGGTCGTACAAGAGCAGGATCAAGAATATCAGGCCTGTTGGTTGCTGCGATAGTGATGACCTGTCCTTTACCCTCAAAGCCATCCAAACATGTAAGGAGCTGCAAGCCTGAATGTCAGCAACTTTTTTTTTCGTGATGAAGAAAAAAAAGTGACCTGATTGAGAGTAGAGTCGCGCTCTTGACCTCCAGATCCCGCTGTGAGACCTCGCGTCCTTCCAACAGCATCAAGTTCATCGATAAAAACCACTGCCGGGGCCTGCAATCAGAAGTCAAAATTCATATCACTTACTTTGAAGAGCACCAGAAAAAACAAACTTACATTCTGATTTGCTTCGCTGTAGAGAGATCGTACTCTCGACGCACCAACACCAACATAGATCTCCACAAACTGAGATGCAGAAATGGCAAAAAAATTTACGCCAGCTTCACCAGCAACTGCTTTGGCTAGTAAAGTCTTTCCCACTCCAGGCTCACCACATAGTAGTATGCCAGCTGAAAAACACGAAGATTATAAGTTATTTCAAGAATAAATCACTTACTCGGAATTCTGGAGCCTCGTCTCCGGAACTTCTCTGCATGAGTGAAGAAATCAACAATTTCCTCAAGCTCCACCCGGATGTTTCCAAGACCAGCAACGTCAGAAAACTTGACATCTGCCTCGGGGTCCATGTACTTTCCCGAGCGAAGTGCACGACCCTGCCGCATTTTGGCGCCAGATCTCATAAAGCGCATTCCCATCTTGAACGCGTCAGCGTTCTCCTCATCGGTTTCCATCTCCGTTCCCCCGGAGCGAGAAGCCTTCTCCATCGCCATCTCCACCTGTTTCATCTCCCTTCGCTCGGCCTCCTCCGCTTTTCTGATTTTAATGCGGTCCTCGTAGTCCTGCTTCCGTTTCTTGATGCCAACCACCACAGTCACGTAGAAGAGCCAGAAGAAAAAAATCCCCAGAGTGAATCGCACGCTCTCATTGTTAGCAGCAGTCGCCCAGAAATAGTTCCACTCGTCTCGCCTCTCCCTCTGCAAGGCGCGGCTTGCCTTGGAGTCCTCCTTCATCTTCATTTGCTGATCCAGAAAAAACTTCTGCTCCTTGGCTGCTTCCTTCCTCGCTTCCTCCTGCTTCCGAAACATCTGCTCTCGTTTCCTTCGCAGCTTCTGCCGCTCAAGCTCCTCGAGCCTTGCAGCGGCAGCGGACTGGAAGATCGTGTAAGCATCTTGCTGTGGCCGCTGAGCTTGTCTCTCCCTAGGCTTCTTGATAAAGTCTTCCACCTTCTTCAAAAACACGAGCGACGGACCTCTCATCGCCCAAGGTGGAATCTCGAGCGGCGGCGGCGGAGGAGTGTAAGCCTCCGTCACAACCTTGTCTAGCTTGAGCTCGTCCCACGACTTGAAAAACTCCCCAGCGCTCCCAGCGTCGGGAACAACCGTTCTTACAACGCGATCATCGTCCATGACCACGAAAACCTCCGCCGGTACTTCTCTGAGCTTCGTCCCGGGATGGCGGATGATGTGCTTGACATTGCCGAGCCTGGCCGAGCGTATGATATCGTCGTAAGCGATATGTTCTTCTACCTGTGGCAATCCAGACGTCCAAGCTTTCCTCTCCTCCGGGGTCATGAATCGCTGCGCCTTCTTCTTCTTCGCCCCTGGCATCGACCTCTGGAATTTCCCGATGGCTCGAAACGCTTCCACGGTGACCAGAGCGGCAGCAGCAGCACAGAGACCCTGTAGAAGGAATCCAACCGGCCGAAGAAGCAGTGACTCCGCGAGCCTCTTCTTCTTGCTGCCAATCTCATCGTCGGCTCTATCTCGATCCTGTTGTAGCGCTGCGCGTGCCCTGTGCCTAGAGATTCTACTCTTCTCCCTGCGGCGCCATGACTTCCAGCGCGATAGCTCTTCGTAATCCGGCCCTAGGAGCGAGGAACTGGAGGAAAATCTCGACCCAGTGCGGCGGAGAAGTCTCGATTGCGAGGAAGAAATCCTCGCTCGATCGGAGTGGCACTCACCAGTGAGAGAAAAATGTGACTGGAGAACCGTGGTGATGGATGCCGATCCCGCCATTGCCGCTCTAGCTATCAATCATCGATCAATCCATCCAAGCCATAAACCCTAGAACCCTAGGTAGCTAGCAAATGGATAGTATCTTGGGAAGCGGCATTTTCAAGGATTGTGGAACGGGATCGCGCTGCTGCTCGCGATCGCTGGTCTACGATCCTAGAGCGCTCCCTTCCGGCCAGCGCTTTGATTCCAGGTCGCTAGCGCTGCGCTCGCAGTGGAGCAAATCAAGATCAAGGTATAGTTTTCGCATGGTAGTGGTTTTTTGCTGACTCTTGATGAGCATTGTCTCGAGCTTGCGAGTTCTACCGATGGACGAGACGAGAAAAACCAGTGACGCGACGCTGGATGGATTCGTGAGTCTAGCACACGAGCTCGCGGACGCTGCCGCCAAGATCAGTCTCAAGTACTTCCGGACGCGCATCGAGGTCATTGATAAGCTTGATCTCAGTTGAGTATATGTGCTTCTTTTTATCGCTCGAAGCTTCTCCTTTCTGGTGAATGCAGGCCCTGTGACTATAGCCGATCAAGCTGCCGAGGAAGCCATGCGAGCTTTAATTCTCCAACGTTTTCCCTCTCACGCAGTGTAAGCTTGCAGCAAAGTCTCTCGTGTGTATCATCGCTTTCCTACAGCTTTGGAGAGGAAAGTGGCTTGACCATGCCTGATTCGATTGCGGAGTATGCCTGGGTCCTAGATCCGATCGATGGAACCAAGAGCTTCATCACTGGTTGGTATTCTTCTCGATGCTCTTCTAATCACTTCCTCCATGCGTTTGCAGGGAAGCCAGTTTTTGGAACACTGATATCGTTACTCCACGACGGTGTTCCAGTAAGTATTCTCACTTTTTCTCTTACACACATGAAGACTTTTCTTATACCGCACGGTTTGGAAATTCCAGATACTTGGGATTATAGATCAACCGGTCTTGAAAGAGCGGTGGCTTGGCGTAGCAGGACAAGTCACCTTACTCAACAATCGAGAAATCAGCACTCGTTCGTGTCATTCGCTCTCCAGTGCCTACTTGTATCACGCTTGGTTCTTTCTTTCAATCCTTTTCCAAAGTATCTAACTTCGCAATGGTGCCAGGTACACCACGAGCCCGCACTTGTTTGACAAGCTCTCGGAGCAGGCTTTTGCTCGCATCCGAGAAGAGGTGTTTTGCCACTTTTCTTTTCCTTTTTTCCTTCACGTTATCTGATTGTGCTCTAACTTACCAGGTGAAAGTTCCTCTGTATGGATGCGATTGCTATGCCTATGGTCTTCTCGCGGCTGGACATGTCGATCTCGTGGTTGAATCCGGACTCAAGGTGAGAGCAGTGGTTTTACAAACATCTCTAAAACAAGATCCTTTTCTTCCAGCCATACGATTATTTAGCATTGGTACCAGTTGTGGAAGGCGCTGGAGGAGTCATAACCGATTGGCAAGGCAACAAACTAACGTGGAAGCCGGACTTTCACGAAGGTAACTCTTCTGGAAACACTAAAGAGTCGCATTCATTCTTGTTTCTTCATATCCACAGAGCTAATCAAAACGAACGTGATCGCTGCTGGCGATTCGAGAGTACACAGAGCTGCTTTGGGCCGGCTCGATTGCCAAGCGAGCTAGAGATCACGAACGTGTTAGAAGTCACGAGAAACGAAATAAGTTCCACATTTATGGGAGCTAAAGTTATAAGGGGCTCTCTCTCAAGCTATATGATACAGATACTCGAGCTTTAGAACAGCCGTCGACGAAATCTAGCACCACCGCCGCCTGGGCCGCTTCCTTCCTCTTCAAACTCATCAAACGCGTCTTCTGGATCCACGTCTTTCGCTGGCTGGTTACGCAGGTACCGAAACGGTGGATCTCCCATGGACGAGTATGGTAAGAGTCCCAGCGATCGAGCTGTTTTGATTTCTCGAGCGATTCTCCTTTGGGACTTCAGGCTGATGCTCGTCTATAACAAACGCCAAAACACAAGTTCAAACAATGGAAGAAAGATGAGGCACTAGATTCTTACGGTTTTTCTCGGAAGTATTCTCGACGTCTCGGACAGGAAAAGAGAGAGGAACTTTATGTTCTGCACCCATGCAAAGAATGAAACAGTGCTTTAGAACAAGAAAGTGTAAGCTACTGAAATACCCGGAAGTCGGCTGCTGCAAGGACCTCGTTCTTTTTCATAACTTTCTTCTGCCGTTGTGGCATCTCTGTTGGATCGCTGGAGGCGATCCTGGTAACATCAAAATCCTAAAATGAGAGGACATGAGAACAGAAGAAAAACTAAGAGAACACCAAAATATAAAAAGTAGAAACGAATGAAGAAACAAACCTCCGGCTCGATAGTTTGTCCGGGAAAGTAGACCCTGTCTGGTCTCAGCTGATATGGCTTGGTAAAGTCGTCCCTTCCCATTCCTGGAAGATTCAATAGCCCTTTCGGAGTCACAAACTTCTGGAGCTCCTCGCTCCAAAAGACCGCGTCGTCTTGATCCAGCATCGACTCGTGGTTTTCCGGATCAACATCGTCGTCGAACGGCACATTCTCTTCGTCGTAGCCCCGCTGCGTCATCAAGCTGTCCCTCCGCTCCTTTCGATCGGCACCCTTCTCTATCCGGGTCAGTTCCTGGAGGAAGTCATCCTCCTCCGGCCGCTCCTCAGCGGAAGCCTGCTGTTCTGTGCTCCCGGAACTTTCCTCGGGAAAGTCATGGAAATCGGTTTCTTCTTCCTCGCCTCCAGCATTCCCGAGAACGTACTTCTCGAAGTCCTCAATAGCTCGCTTAGAACCACCACCACCTGGAAAATGGCCAAGCGCTTTTGATCTCTCTATACTAAAACTCTGTTCCATACCTCCCGCCTTGGTAGCCATCCAAGCTCTTGAGAGCTTGGACCCCGCCAGCGGCGTCGTCTTCCATTGCGGCCCCTCCTCGGCGATACTGCTCGAGGCAAAAGTCTGGAAAACGCAAAGACAAGGCCTACATTCATCAGCAAAGTACCCTAATCACGCCCCGCGGCCGCACTGACCTGAGAATAAAGCGGCGAGGACGATCTCCAGCTCCAGAGCTTGGACGCGACGCGCCCCAAGCGCCAGCGCCCCATCACCGATCACCGCATTTCCTGCTTAAACCCTATACATTTCGTATAAACCCTAAGTGGTCTCTTCGTGACTCGAACCACAGACATCCCGAACAAAAAATGATGTATTAATTGTCCAATGTGGAAGGCTATGATTATTTTGTTAGATATGTGCACCATAGAAACTCATGTACTGCACATCTGGAAGATAGTTGACAGGCCTAAAATGTCGTAAAATTTTTACATAATGCAAAGCCACTGTGGATGAATGATATTGTCTTTGGAATCCTTTGCTTCTTGACGCTGTGCCACCATGTAAACAGTATATGAATTACTATGCCATGTTTGGCATGTTTCTCATGTTAAATCATCAAGTTTTATTAAAAAAGAAAAGTATTCTTTTATATTCGAACAAGATGGTTCGTTTGTTGGTTGAGCTGCTTATGGAGATTGATTCCTTCTTTAAGAAATTTTGGCAAAAAGGAATGATGGTAGCACATCAAGTTTGAATGCTATAACAATAAGTCATTCAAGAAAGAGTGTGCAAGCAAGCAGGAAGAATTAGATAGTCGTCTGTTAAGATTACCAAGCAAAAAGTTTTGCCTTCTTCAATGCTCTTTCGGCTGCTACCAAAGTTGCCATCTCTTTGCAAAAAGCTACTCTCACGTAGCGATTCTCATAGCCAAGTTTGTTCGATCGAAAGAAAGCGGAGCCAGGAACTAGTGCAACTCCAGCGCGGTTTATTAGATCCGTGACAAACTCTATCTGAACAAAACAATTCAAGAACTGAGCTGAGTGAAAAACCGGGGCTTACATCGTTTTGCTTCATAGCATCCGGCAGCCTTGCAAAGACGAAAAACGATCCCTGAGCCGTAAACGGTACCTCAAAACCAGCTTCAACTAGGACTTTCTTTATATATTCGCCTCTTTCCCGGTAGCACTGCACACAAAGTACAAACACTGTCGGAAACAAAACAAAACTTTCATGAATCTTACACTTTTGAGCTTTGCATAGAAATCGTGACTGCTCTGCAACGCGACCAAAGCCGCTACTTGGAAAGGTGAAGGAGCGGAATCAGTAAGCTTGACGTGTATGTTTCTTATGGCAGACGCCAGCTGAACCGGTGCTATAGCCCAGCCAACACGCCACCCTGCACGGAAAAGGTAGAATAGCAGCAAGAATTACGCATCTTGACATCCATACCAGTCACCGAGTATGTCTTTGAAATCGAAGAGGTGACTATCGTCCTCTCGAGCATGCCTGGCAGTGATGCAATACTCACGTGTGTTGCTCCAGGAAACACTATGTGCTCGTACACCTGTTAAAAATGCGTAAGCCATGGAAAGATCCTTTCTCTACTACCTCGTCTGTTATAGCAAGTAGATCGTGCTTACAACAGAGCTGCGCTATCTCTTTAAGTTCCTCTATCGCAAAAACCTTTCCAGTCGGATTGTGAGGGCTGCCACAATCGCATACCGAGTCAAGACCACAAGGAAAGCTACTCGAGATACCTGTTAATCACAATCGCCTTGGTTCTAGAGGTGATGCTCCTTTCGAGCTTCTCTGAATCCAACGTCCACAGCGGAGGCGTTAAAGGCACGAAAACCTGTATAGCAACAGAGAAGGAAAGCATATTAGCAATGAAGATTCATCAGCCAGTTGGCTCAACTGGCTTGCCTCCAGCCATTATGATGCAAGATTCGTACGTCTCATAGACCGGTTCCAAAAGAATCACTTCGTCGTCACGATCAACAACTAAAAGAAGAGGACCAAGAGTGAAAAAGGAGATCTGTTCGAACTCACCAGCGAAAGTCGCGGCAGCGAGAGCTTCCGATTGACCGCAGCAAAGCACAATGTCGGACTTGGAGTCAACCTTCACACCCTGGAAATGCTCAAAATGCTCGGCCACTTTGTCGCAAACACCTTGTACATGCCTTGTGAAAACGAAATGTAAGAAACCATGCAAAACGATCTCCCAAACCACCTGTACTGATTGAAGTCTGCTCCAATGGCATCCCTTGCGGCCTCCTTCACCTCTGGCGGAGCTGGGAAATCTGGAAACCCTGGAAAACCTCTCCGCTAGAACACAAACACCCGAGAATATCAGTTTTACCTTCCGCTAGATTGATCGCATTGCGCTGCTGAGCGAGATGCGAGAGCTTCTGTATCGGTGACGGCTTGAACGACCGTGTCCTGTGCGCTAGCCAGCGGCAAAAACCCTCCTCTTCCATGAGAAGATGTGGTTATTTTAATGAGGTTCATGGAGTCGTACTAACAGGACCTACAGGCCTCTAACAGAGCTCTTCCTCACGTTTATATCGCTGGTCACACCTCAATAGAGAGATCAAATGTCACGTTTATCTCGCTGGTCACACCTCAATAGAGAGATCAAATGTCACTAGGCCTCAATAAAGGAGGGGCTTAAGCTCTTTCTTCTCCAGAGTGAATGCGAATGGCCGCACCTTCTATCTATCGTCCCCAAATTCTGGAGCAGCTCCTCGCCTGCAAGAGCATCTACTTGCCTCAAATTCGCTGCTCGTTGCCATTGCAGTGCCACCCAGACTACGCCTCCGTCTCCAAACAGGCGAACGATTGGGCCTTCCGCTTCCTCAAGATCAATGCCACCAATGCCGCTGCCGATAAGAAATACTTCACCCAGTGGAGGATGCCACTCTACGGCACCTTTGTTGTGCCTTGGGGCGACTCCAGGCACGCTCTAGCGGCCGCCAAGTACACCTGGCTTATCACCATTCTCGACGATGCGGTCGACGAGGAGCCTTCGCAGCGGGACGAGATCCTGGAAGCTTACATGAGCCTTGCCTCCGGTCAAAGATCCATCGCCCAAGTTCCCAACAAGCCCGTGCTCGTCGCCCAAGCCGAGCTCATCCCGGATCTGCAGAAGCTCATGTCGCCGCTCCTCTTCCAGCGGCTGCTCGTCTCGTACAGGAAATTTGTTGGCTGCTACTCGGCCAAAGTCGACGAGGAGGAGTTCACGAAAGAGTCTTACGCTGTGCATCGCCGGGAGGACTACGTTGTCAAGCCGATGCTTAACTTCACGCAGATGTGCCTGGGAGTCGAGCTGAGAGACAAGGATCTGGAAAGCGAGGAGTACCTGCGGGCGATAGATGCCATGTTTGATCATATGTGGCTGGTGAACGACATCTTTTCATTCCCAAAGGAGCTGAGGAAGAAAACTTTCAAGAACATAATTTTTCTCTTGCTCTTCACGGACCACACCGTTCGCTCTGTTCAACAGGCAGTCGATAAGGCGAACGCCATGATTCAGGAAAAAGAACAAGAATTCATGTATTACCATGAGATCCTGACGAGGAAAGCGATGGAATCTGGCAACCACGACTTTCTGGCGTACCTTAGAGCGATTCCGGCATTCATCCCTGGAAATCTACGTTGGCACTACCTCGCAGCTCGGTACCACGGTGTTGATAATCCATTTGTAACAGGAGAGCCATCCAGTGGGACTTGGTTGTTTCATGATACGCAGACTATCATACTCCCCGAGTACAAACCAACTCATCCCCATCTGCAAGTCTGAATGAAAAGGCCATGAAAAATAAAACATAAAGTTTCCTGTTAAGATGCAGAGCAAGCAAAAGAGTTTCGGCTACTACCAAAGTTCACAAAAAGCTACCTGATTCTCATAACCAAAGAACACAAAGCCAGGAACTAGTGCAACTCCTGCAGATCCATGATAAACTCTACCTGAAACCAACCCAGTAAGGAAATTGAGCTGAGTAAGGAAACTGAGCTTACATTGTTCTGCAGTAACCTTGCACACATGAAAAACTTGATTCTTTCATGAAAGTGAAAAGGCCTCAATCTAGATCCTTTTGAATAAAAGTACTTTCACAAAATTATTTATTATTTATAAATGAATAAATTTTGCATTTTACTTTAGTCATTTAACTATGTTTTTGACCATTTAGAGGAGTCACATTCACAATTTCGATTTAGGGTATTTGCTAGCCCTATATGTGTTCTCATGACTACATCGACTTCACACTTGGTCCAAGTGTTTCATATGTAAAATCCTACTTTAAACATTTAGTATTATTAATATCCTAGCATCTTAATTGAAAGTTATGTACATTTTTAATATTTCCAAGACCATCTGTACCACAATTTTATTTTTCCAAGACTAGGCCATCTATTTATGAGTAGTCATCTAATGACTATTCCTTAAGATGTCTCAAAATATAAAGAACATCATTCTCTAATATTCATTTTTTAATCCCACCAAATTCCTTTTCATTTATGGCAATGCTTATTAACACCACCACCGGTCTAGGGTTTAAAGACCCATCCATTAAACTCCATTAACTTTTAGAACTTCTTCACCATGTAATCATATTTTTAATCACTAAGCAAAAAACATTACTCTTTTTCCATTCTATAGTCTAGGATTTTAAAATGGCATTTCGAAACATTATGGCATAACATGAGTTTCATGGGTACTCCCCCCACTTTCCACCACTAAAATGCTCCAGCCATGTGGCTAAAACTAGGTTCCAATGAGCTACATAATGTATCCAAGTAGGTATTGCCACCCACACTTGGGATTGGGAGCATCAATCATTTCATCTTTCGGGGGAGCAATTAGTTTTTTAACACTTCATTAAATTACCTCATTTATCCATTTATGTTCACATGGGTTATACTAAGTGTAACTTTCCTTGGTCATACTAGCTTTTTTTGGCCAAACTAGTTCCACAAACCTCTTTTACTATGTGTGTATAAATAGATGATTAAAGATAGTTTTCTATTTCACTTTTGCAAATTGTAGCCTATGTAGTTATAGTGTTCCAAAAGCAAATCTTCAAAGAGCTCTCTCCAAACTTGAGTCTCAACATGCATTGATGTTCCTTACATCTTGTGAAACTGGTTCACAAAGGCATCAAGTGGTGTAAATTGATTGGCCAATAAGTTAGGTGGAGAACATTGGAGCATATCACAAATATTATATTGTGTCATCCCTAGAACAAAAGCATTTATCTAGTACACACTACCCTATTCCAAGCACTTCGATAGCTTGAACTTGATATCCATGATCTCTATAACCTTCATGCAAGGTTTCTAATGTCGGCCATCGCTATGTTCATGGTATGCAAGTGGAATAGTGATACACTTGGAACACAACATTATCATCAATGACCAAAGTACTCCCTCATTGGAAGAGCCTCTACAGAGGGATTTGCCATGTTTCTTACTGCTCCAGGGTGCTAGAGACTGAAGGTTATTTGTTACATATTGTTAAACACAATAGGTGATAGGGTCTGAATGGAGACATTTTAGCTATGAAAAGTTTCAAAGAAATAAACTTTACCAATGGCTCAGATGGCAATACATAAGTTGCCACCTCTCAATAGCAATCCATCATTAGACCTTCAGAAGATGTTAAGGAGCCCATCAAGAGAGTGTAGTGCTAGGGGCCAGAAAATCTACTTGCCGAGTGTTGTCTAGACACTGGTGTGGCAAATGTATCGAGTTGTAACTAGAAAAAACCATTAAAAAGTGAGCATTGCAAATAGGAAACAGAAAAAGCTAACCACTCACATACATCCTTTTGAGAGTTGGAGTTGACCATATTGGTGTGTGTTTGGTGATGTTGTGTGGCCTTAAAAAAGAAGATGGTCCAGGAGAATGCAAGCCAATACATGTGTTGGCACTCAGTCAAGAGATTTGAGCTGTGACAAGTTGCATATATTGTTATTGTTGTTGTTGCTACTGTTGCTTGCATTAATCATGTTGGACAGGTGTGAAGGAAAAGCTCCAATTAGAAGAAGGATGGGAATGGGATATAGACCGTATATGGGCAAGAGGGTTCCTTATAATCATTCTCTAAACTTGCTCATGTGCTAAAGCATAACAAGAATAGAGCATTACCCACATTTGGAGGATCCGTCCTCTATGTTTCCCCTCTTCTTATCATTTTTAACCCATGTGCCTAGAACAAAAGAAAAGCAATGAAGATGCTAAAACACCTACAAGAAATGGATGATGAAGATAGCAGGAGAATAGAAGGCAAAAGTGTAATCATGCCAATCTTAATTGCACCAAACCCTAAACAGCCCTAACCCTAAATTATTAGACAGCTTCCTCTAAATTATAACCTCATGGATAGTAAAATAAGAATTTTAAAATGAAATTAGACTATACTAAAATAAAATAAAAGTGTGAGGGCCAAGTGTACGGCTACGATGCCATATATTAATATTAGTGTAGTGGGATTTTGGTAGCCGTCGGATTAGTTTCAATCTAGACTACTTGCTCTAGTATACAAGCTAGAGTTTCTAGGCTAATTGATATACACATTTTCTGTATTCCTTTTTCATATTCCAAGCACTCACATTGGTGGAGTTGAGGGGCACCTTTGATTGTCCCTGAGAAGTGCTTGGATTTGGGATTTTGGTTTAGATTTAGCTTTTGTATCGTTTATATTTAGTTTTTTCCATTTCCTTTCTTTTATTCTTTCCTTCCAAAATTTTCGTTTATATCTAGCTTTTTTGCATTGTCTAGATCTCCATTTCCTTCTAGCTTTTTGTCATTTCATTTCTTTTACTCTTTCCTTTTCGTTCATCTTTATGGCAGATCAACAATCTCCTTCTTTGACTCTGGAGCAGCAGTTGGTACAATTGCTTGATACTATGTGCTTGCAATTGAACAACCAAACTCAGTTGATGGCGGCATTCACGGCATGTGGTACAACTCCTCCTGCTCTTGGTGTCAATCCTCGCGTTCGGCTAGAGTTCTTTCACGAGAATCTTAGGGATGATGTGTACCATTAGTTTGATCACTTCACGATAATTGCCACATATCGTTCCTAACATGATGATCAACATTTGTGTGAGTTTCCCATGTGTCTCTAAGGGACGGCATTGCAGTGGTACAATGGTTTGAGTGTAGCCATTCATGGGGATTGAAGTGTTCTCCTAGATGTTTTTAAATGCGCATTCAAACATGTCGACGATTGTGATGATGCCTTTTAATAATTGCATCGTCTTCGCCAAGGGCCATTTGAGTCGGTGATGCAATTTGACATTTGTTTCCGAAGTCTTTTGCTTCGTACGGAGCCAAATATGTCAGAGCGGATCAAGTTAGGAATGTTGTGGTTAACACTTTGTCAAGATTTTGTTGGACTTATGCATGCACTTGCTCCCGCCACCCTTGACAATGCTCTTCATTTGGCACAACGTTATGAGATGTCATCTCTTCCACTTTTCGTTGCACGTACTTCAGCTCCACTTCTTATGGATGATGGTCATGTTCCAATGGAGGTTGATGCTACTGCTACTCGAGTCCAAGGACAAAGGCGAGGACGTGGTCATGGCCGTGATGTTCGCTGTTGGGTGTGTGATGAAGTTGGTCATACTTATTAGTGTTGTCGGCGTTTTCCAAATTGGCAACCTCCATTTCCTAGGTGGAGACCTTGGCGTCAACAACGTCCTGTTGGTGCTGCTGCAGTGGAAGGTTTGGACACTGACATGCATCTGGGAAATGAGGTGTAGCGCACCTGAATTTGGAGCCGAACTCCAAGCTCGTTGCGCTACAAAACGAGGGTCCGGTACAATCCCACGAGCACCAGCTCCCCGTATCCAGCACCTGCACGCAAAATGGTGTCAGACGGAGTCTGGCACAATTTTGGCATACCGGTGGCCTAACGCAAGAAGGGGGGTACTCCACCGACTAGAGCAGCGTGGAGCTTGGGCTTAGACCCAAGCCGGACGTAGAACAAGGAGTGACACAACCTAGCGGGAGCCAAACTAATATCTCAGGTGGTCGGACATGCATTCCAACCACTATCCCTACTATACATTTGGAACCCCCCACAGCCCCCCCCCCCTTGAGGGACACACGCTTTGGGCTTTCACCCCAAGCCTCCCTTAGTACCAGGAGTTAGTCTCTGGGACAAGTCCGAAACTTACTAAATATGAAATGTCCTTGGATTGCGAATTTGGACACGGGACGAACACCATTGTGTTCAGGCCGATCTCTACATTCCGTAGATATGCCAAATGAGCTAATCTAGACACTTTCCCTAAATAGCATTTGAGACCGAAATGAGACCAACACAAAGGGTGTGATAGCGAGGGTGTTTGGCAATCATGGTAAGCTATCATCTAGCGAATATTGAGGGATTAGTCTCAATATCACGGGGGTTCTTGACACTAGCAAGTGCAAGCCAATGACAGGAGTTTCTCAAACCAGGCCGAGTATGCTCAGCAAGAAACACATAGGGTTCCTACCTTATGTTTATCCGATTTAAGTACACGGTCATTGACCAGTTTCTCAACTAGCTCAAGTGGGAACAATAAAGGGAACCAACTGTACCGACCTTCTGCCGTCATGGCAGTAAGGAAAGAGTGTCCGTAAGGACTGGCCGACAAGTATCTTTCGATACCTGAAGTCACATTCGCGACACTCTCCCCCCCTTGGGGAAGATCGACGTCCTCGTCGATGCATACCCGAGTCTAGCAAACCGTCAAGGAAACAACTCCGAAAGTTAATGGAAAGCACACTATGTGGGAAACGCACCGA